ACTAGATTATTTAGGTAAATCAACTGAGAATATCAGATTAGTTGCATTGTCCTCAGTGCATTCTCACAGAGTGAGAATTCTCTACATTCTCACAGAGTGAGCAGAGAAAAAACTATGATGACAACCCCCTTCCACAAAACCTCAGCAGAGGGATATCTGCTTTTCCTATCTCTTTTGCTAAATCCTCCCACTCCTTATTAAATGAGCTGCAGTGAGTTTTAACAATATGGTATAATCACCCCATTGTTTCTTATGGCAAGACTACATTTTCTCAGTCTACAATTTTCTTGTTTTCTCATGACCAATTTGTCTGTTTCCTCGACTGCTACAGAGACCTTTTCATATTAAAATGCTACCTTTCCCACCCAGGTTTATACAATGAAGTAAAATGGCATTTTGCATGATGCATTTGCCATGACCACATGGAAAAATGATGTACTAAGTGTTCCGGTGATAGAACACCCTGGTCTGTGCCAGTTGCAATAATCACTTGAGTGTGATCAGTCTAGTACAAATGCAGAGACAAACACCAGAAAAACAGTTGAACTTGATTTCCATCCCTTATATGCCATCCCCAAGAGTGAGAATTCTCAAATATATAATAGAGACAGGAAAAGTAACAACAAAAAGTTGATTTCATTATGATCCTGTTGTTAATTTAAGATTCTGAATTTATTAGTTCTGAAAGAACTGACTTTCAAATCCCTCCAAAACTCTTCAGCAGTATGCTGACTATGATATTTCTTATGTTGTTAAAAAGAGGTTGTTAAAAATGCTATTAAAAAGAAGTTGCATTATCACTAATGCATGAACTTATTGCTCCTAAGCATCATGTCTTATTCAATGCTGTTGTTTCCTCAGGAACAATAATAGTTTTTCCAAAGTTTTCCATAGCCATGCAGCTTTAATTGCATTGATTGGATGCTTGTGGTTTCTCTTTTTTTACTTCAGAAGTCTGCATTTATACTCCAAAGGTGTGTACTGTGGAACTTCCAACTACATCATTGTACAATCGTTATGCAAGACTAGCAGCAACTCATTTCACATCAATAATGAATTTTTATGTATAAAATACCTTCGGTTGTATTTGTCACTTTGAAACCTGTTACTTATCAGCTATAACTCATAATAATTTTGGAGAAGTAGTCCATACTGAAAAAATTAAGGAAGAAACAGTCTTAAGCATTGACTTAAATTAAAATATACAATTATCTGACACTGACTGTTGACAACTCATCTTAGAAGAAATTAGAATTTTGAACAGAATATATATGCCCACAATAAGTAACATATTTTCTCAGTGAAGATTTATGTCAAGGATGCACTCAGTGCCTACATACCAGGAATTGGACTTGAAGATTAGTCAAAGACAGAACTTGAATTTAATACTGCTGAAACACAGAAAGTAAACCTAGGATTTAAGATCCCACTAGTGATATGCTGCATACTTGATCATGGAATTATCATCTTTCATTAGACAGAGAAAGGAAACTGGAAGGCACACAGCATAAAATTTCAGATGCTTTATGTAATTATTAATACAAGAGTTACCCCAACTACCAGGTCATGGTTATCCTGATCACCTACAACTTACTGCAGTATTTTTAAGTGTTCAAAAAGCATAAGAAATGGAGCGGATTATATTTCATTACCCGAGGCCAAAATTTTAAAGCTTTTAAAGTGCCCTAAATACTCTGGCTGGAACTCGCTGCACTTAACAAGCACTTAAATGTGATACAGTTACTTGAAGTTATAGACCTACTGTCTTTCTTTAGTCAATGAACAGAAACTATTGTCTAAGCAAGTTGATTTGCCCACCTGTTAAGACACCTGGTCGCAGATGGGTAAGTTGATGATTTAACTGCTCTTACTATCCTGTTTCAAAAACCAGATGTGAAGTACTAGATTCAAAGACTGGAATAATTTCCCCACTCTCTGACACTCAGTAGCTAAGGTACCACAGTAACAGAAATCAACGTTTCTGATAATGTTCCCATTCTCAAGCATGGAAATACTGACTTCTGCACGCACACACAATATTCATTATGTTTATAAAAAGATGCATTTATGCTAAAAACATCAGTATGAACATCTCAAAATAGGAAAATTTTGCTATCGTACATTTATCTGATAAAACAATATTCAGTACAACTTTAACGACCTAATGCTTAACTGACGTGCTTGGCTTTGACACTGTCACTGTGACTCTTCTCACATTTCCTGCCAATGCTCTAGTACTAAACAAATATCTTGCCGTGAAAGCTTGTCTAGAATCCAAATTCTGCACCTTCCCAGATGAATGCTGTGATCTCTAAATTGTGCATAACCTCTTGCTTCTTTCTCTAATACCATGCTCCATTGTTCCTGGCGTGTGCCAGCTACAAGATGGCAGGCAACGTAATTGCTGAGCATATACCTGGTGTCATGGCTAGTACAGCCTCCTGAGAATCAGGAGATGGAGGTTTAATCTACTTGGAGATTAATAGAGCCCCCAAATTCATAGGTGAGTACAGCAATTATCACGCAACCAGAACATTTCTCTAGGGGAGAAACATCCAGACTTCCTGGATGAACCTTCTCAGGAGACTAAAAGTAAGTTGGTGCCTGTGTCAGTAAAATCCATTTTTTTTACTAGTTTATTAACTATTTTTCATTTTAAAAAAATGATATTATGTAAACTGTGTAGGTAATGCAAAATTTGTGTCTTCATTGTTTGCCATATTTTACCTTCGTCTTGCTCTCCCTATATTGTCATTTTCTCAAGTAATGCTCTTTAATAAAAATGAGGAGCCCTGACCAATGTGGTCACACAGGCAAGGAAGAGGCCTCTTTTCTTCCTAGGTCCTCTGTCTCCCACACAGACCTCTCCCTTCCTTGACTTTTCCTTGCAGATTGCATTCATTCCCTTTTTGCCTTAGCAAAGAAAAGGCAAAAATGTCACAAGTGAGCAGGTACCTAGTCATAGCCTGTATCTTTTGCCTAACAGCTCATAGTCTCACAGAAGCTCAGTGATCGTGCACTGTTTGGTATAAGGGATGAATGAGCATGGGCTCTTTCTCCAGTGGTATCTCAGGGCATTTACTGTTGCTTCAATCTATCAAGAACTGAGCAACACGTCCTTACAAGTTTCAGAAAAGTCACCACAGTAAGTCCTGAAACTACATCTTTTGACAAATGGCATATCGTAAAAATAAAGAGGAAGGCTGAATCTTGAGTTACGGTGTAACTCCGTGTATTTGCCTTTTTTATAGGCAAGAACTGCTACAATATGCAGTATTTTAGCTGTAAACACAGCTATCAGTGCAGTCATATCTACATAATCATATGCACAGACATCTCAGTTTATCCAGCAGAATGGCAGACGGTACATAAGATATGTAAACAGATCTGCCAAACACTTACAAAACAACTTTAATAGCAAGTGTCATTCTTTTCTGTAAAGTAGCTGTTTTTAACACACATGATCTAACTCTTGTTTGCTCTTTAAAGTTTTATTGTCTTGGCATTTTATACAGGAAGAGAGCATTAGCATACTCAGGAGAACCGCTAAAAGTAAAAGGCCTCAAGCTACCCACTGCATGGTTGATAGCATAGAGCATGGGATATAAAAACTTTTGTCTGATTGCTCACTTTACTTGTTTTAAAGTAGTGTTACTCTCAGGAGCATATATTCATGTTCTTTCTACTTCAAGTTTTATTACTTCTTTTGTATTATTTAATACATCTAAAGACACTTCCAAAAGACAAATTTTTCCATTTTGAAAAAGTAATGGTTTGGAACCTGATAAAATACATGAATGTTCACAGTGTATTATTTTCAAAGGCAAGTAGAACAAATGTACAATAAAACAATTAAATGCATGACAATAAACACTTCTGTGTGAGCACAGATATATTAACATACCAAACAAAAGAAGAAAAAATTGGTAAAATATTTCCCCTAAAAAATGGTCAGATCAAAATGGATTGTTCGCACACCAGAGCATAAGCAAAAAGGGAGTCTGTTCTAAATTACTGTTACTGTTAAATATCCCACTCTAGAAATTAAAATCAGCATTTAAAATGTGAAAGAGAAAATGGAATGAAAAAAAGCAAATGAAATCAGCTTTTTTAAACATTAAAAAAAAAAGGGAGAGATACCATAATTATAGATACACATTAAAAATCATTCTACAGTACACTTAAAACTAAGTCTACTTAGATATCACACTGCTAATTATTATATAAATAACCTAGGAAACAATACCTCCAAGATACATGTTTTACTATTTAGTAAACAAGAAACTGCCATGTTTGACACCACTGATTAAGGCCAGGCATTTCTAAAGCTTCAGACACATTTCTGAAATCCACAATACATCAATTTTTAATACTTCCACTCTCTCAGCTCCATTAAAAAGATGGTAGGGGAAAGATTTTAGAGTAATTAATGATATAGTTAGCTGCTAAATATTAATAGGAATCGTAGTCTTGCATAAAATATAACATATAAACCTTGCCAATACAGACGCACCAGTAATTAAACTTGAATATGTAATTACACTGATTTATATGACAGGCAAAAAGTTACACTTTACTGGCTTCTATGTAAACTGCGGGCAACAGTTAAAGTTTGCATTTTATGGTTTGTATAAATGAGCAATATCTCTACTACAGTTCATAAATGGTTTAGAGACTCATAGTTAAAATTACAACTAATTCCAGTGTGAACATTCTGACTACACCTTACAAACCAGGCTGTGAAAATGACCACAGAGATCATTATGTTCAATGCTTGCAAGCAAGATGATGAGGTTTAAAAAAAAAAGGCAAAAAAAAGACTTACACCAATCTTACTACAAAGTAAATGAAGACACATCTATTTAAATGTTTTAATATAAATGTTTAGTTTCAAATATATAGCTCCAGACATTTCACTTACCATCTTTCAAAGCAGTTTTGAGTAATATTGTGTCTTAGACTAAGGCATTTTTTCTTGAAAGGAAGCTAAGTGGACTTACATGTGAGGCTGAGGAGAGCAGCCTGGACTGCTATTTCCATTACTGTCAATGTGATCCAGTGAACCATTGAGATCTTCGTGGACTGCCTGCAGTAAGCCACTGGATGCGTTATTTATCAGTCCTGGGTTACTAAGCAATGGTAAACTACTCTCTGCCAGTGCAGCCTACCAAAATGAAGAGTAAAAACAAAATGATTACTGCATATATATATACAAAGCACTCATACATGTATGAACATTTAGAAATATACATACACAGAGCAGCTCATTTTGAGTAGTTGTAGAGGTGGTCAGAAGGATTTTGTGCATTTCCAATTATTTTCACCTTCTGAATATAACAGCATTTCTACTTCTGGTTTGCCATTTCTCTTACTTAGGTTTCATTATTTTCCATTTTTAACTATGTTCTGATATTCATGGCATTTTCTAGTTTTATATCATTTTTTGACTCTGAATTACACTTAACCCCTTTGCCCTTCCGCACAATGTATGGCTCCTTTATAATGCAGGCAGCTGCTATACTTTAAAAAATGACCAGAACTTACCTCAAAATAAAAAAGTCCTGACATTTGCCTCTTCTGCATAAAAATTATATATTATAATTAAACTTTAAAGTTTTTGCCATGAGCACCATGTTCCCAACACTATGATGTGAAATCATTTATGACAGCTTGGATAAATATTAATGCATATCCACATGCATTTGCAAAAGCTTCTATCAATCTAACATTTGCAGCAAAACTGAGTGTTCCAGATTTTGCCACAGGGTGTCCTTCTTGCTT